TTGTAGAGAGTGTCTTCTCATTTGCGAACATCAACTCGAGATTTAAAACCTGTCAAATTCGATATCGTTTGTTTTTTCAATTTAAATTATTCAAATAGAACACAATCTTAAGTCTCAAATTTTCGTTGTTTTTTAAATTTAAACAAAATTTATTCATAACAATTTTAATAAAACTTATACCTTCAGTTTTACTTTTCATGAGCTGCAATTCATAGAGTTCGTTAGACATAATTGTTATTATGAATGTCATGAGCTTTTTTTGTTAAATTTGAACACACCATTTAATTGCCATTATAAAATGGAATCAGACATCGAATGGGGACAAATCAATTGAGTTTTCAAAACATTTATATACAAAAATAAAAATACAGAAAATGACATTCAAAAAAAAAACACGGGTTTAAAAAATGAATATTGGCAAACGGCTTCTCTTCACAAACACAATAACAATTGAATTACTACTATAAATTACGATAAAACTTCTTTAAAATCTTGCTTCGACTTTGATTAAAATTCTTCTTGGCTAAGCCTAAATCGACGACCTTTCTCGTACATTATGAGTTTCTACAAACTGCATTAGCTCCACTAAATTTAAATGCGATCTTTGATCTAAAACTTACGTCCTCTACCAATTACAGTATCTTTTCTTAAAATAAAAATAACTTTTTATTAAAATTTTTCAAAATGATTTATTTCCTATAGACGTTCTCATTGATTAAATCTTTAAAATTTAACAATGAAATCCAATCGTTTTATAGAAAAGTAATAAAATTGTCAAGTTAAAATCAACCGAAAATTTAAAATAATTTAATTTTACTTAAAATTAATTTTCTTAATGTTCGCAAATGAGAAATAGCTCAAATTTGGACACCAGTTCTTCGACTCACGACATAGATATACATATTGGAGGAAGATTAATCATTCTAGCTTTATGTGGGAGATAGAGCGAATTGGATCTCTGTAGAACAAGTATTATTATGTTTATTAAGTGTTTTTTTTTATAACATTATCAAAATATCCTTTTTTTTGAATAATTTGTTTTCGATTTCATAGCGTCTACGATTAAATTATAATGAAAAATACAATTATAGGTTGCACTAAAATGTTTCTTTAAATCATAAGTTTTTTATTACTCTAATTATATCATGCTTTGGTAAATCAATAAGAGTATTGATGTTTTTCTACATCTAAGAATAATAAAATACTGTTACTTTCCCTAGTGAATGTACTGAGCTAAGGGTACTGGAAAAAGCACCCTGCTACTAGTATATCACAGGAACTTTCGGATACTGAAGTAGCTTAAAGTTTTTTTAAGTACGTATAAGGTACTGGGGCGGATATCCTGCTGGAAAACCTCTAGTAAATGGGTACTTGAAGGTACTGATCAAATACTCAACTGAGTACTATTGCACAGTATTTTTAGGTACCCTATTGCCAAAATTGCAGTATGTTGATGACTAAACCTAATCTTTGACTTTTTTCATTTTTTTTCTCTCAAAACAACTTATGACATTTTTTTCATTTTATTTAATTCAATTTTTCCAATTCTAAAAGCTCGAGCAGATCAAATTTCGGAATCCGACCGGTTCTGAATTAATCGGATCTCCATCAGACTACTTCAGGATAGTTCTCTCTCAATTTAAGATCGAGATCGACATGTTCTCGACTAGTAAATAGTCAAGAAATAATCTAGAACAAATAAGTGTAAAAAAAAATATTAATTTCTTATGTTTTGTCGAGTTGTTTATATGAAGCCGTATGTGCAAAAGAAAACGGTGAATAAACAGTTGCTACACAGAACGCGACAAATCTAGGATACCCTGTAGAGCTTTCCTCAGTAAAATTATAGGTGAGGGTATCCATACAAGTACTTGTTCAATATACATACTGCTATGGGTACCCAATGCAGTACCTACATCAGTATAATTACTGAGATTCTTCGAAGTACCCATATTGGGTACCTAGCTGAGGCTTTCTCAGTACATAGGTACCCTTAGCTCAAAACGTTCACTAGGGTTGTCAAGATAAATTTGGTTTATAATTCTTTTTTTTATCATCTTGAATGAAAATCAGATTAAATAAGTAACAACAAATGCAACATTTGTAATCAAACAACGAGAGAACCTTGATAATATTATTACCGATTTATCTTTCAGCGAATCGTAATCGTACAAACATCAAAAAGAGTCTTTTCTCTACCTGTCCCTAATAGATCATAAATTTTTGAATTTATGGTAGAAATAACTATAGCCATAACTAAATAGCAAATAAGAATTTCCACTCTGAAAAACGACTCGACAATAAAATATTGAAAACTATCAAAAAGAAATTTGTTCCACGCACATCTTTCAATCTTTAAAAGAATCGTTAAGTATCTTAGAAATTTTAACTGCAATACAGGCCTAGTCATCAGCAATGCAAAACTTTGAATTTAAGAAAAACCCAATCGAAATACTTCCGTAAATGTAGACTTTATCACTTTTTATATGATTTGATAAAACCCATTGATCTCAATTATGAGAATCTAGCAAGAATGAGTCTACTGATGCTTAAGAATAAAGTGCTTGCTATCAGCAAACATCCAGCTGACGTCTTCTAGGTTTAGAAATCGAGTGTGTTGTCTCGATACAATATCTATCTCTGTAAAATCAAAACATTTTCAAAATTCACTTACTTTATTTTACTCGGGAGTATTTCTTTCATAGTTCTTTAAATGTCCAATAGGTCCAATAATATTGATTTTCAGGCTATATAAAAACACTAAACTAGGTTTTCAGATACTGAGTATCACTCAAATGCTGTATTCCATTAAACTAATGTGCAAATCCTTTTAAGCTATTGAGCCACGATTAAATTTTGTAAATTCTGAACTCTGATAATTCTGTGAAGTTAAGAAAGTTTGATCACTCTAGAATTCCTTGGAAACGTCCCTATTTCTATTCTTGCTTGTATTCATACTCTCATATTTACTCTAAAGATAGTATTGCAATAATGTAATGAAAAAAATTCTAATCAACAATATTTCAATAAGAAATAAAATATTGAAATCGCCCAAACTCTAATATACTGACACCGTGTTCATCTCGAAACATATGAGACTATTTTTATATATGTGTTGGAAATTAAGTTACCATTTCTAATTAATTGTTTGACTCCTTTTTTTTTTCATTTATAATTACACTAAAATATTCATAGCTGTGAATTTCGTATTGAATTTCTCAATATTTTTCTTTTCAGATTTTACTCATATATTTCACATTTTGAACATAGTTATCTGAATGTCTTTCTTATTCTACGTATTATAATAAGTTTTGGATACCGATTAATTGTATCCTCAAAAAATCGATGTAGTACTCGATGATCAAGTATGGACTTACAGCGAATTGATCGAACAGGTCGAACGTGTAGCCTATCATCTACACCGCTTAGGTGTCGTTCAAGGGCAAATCATTTACCAATTTGTCGAGCGAAGTTTAGAGATGGTATACGGTTTATATGGTATTTTGTGTACTGGTGGTGTATACTGTCCCACAAATCCAATAGAACCATCTGATCGATTTGCTGCATTTCTTGAACCGTTAAACGATCAATATGTTCTAGTACATAGGAAAACCCGCAATCATTTTCCATCAATAGCTGTTCAACATATCGTCCTGCTGAATGATATTCTTCTGTCGTTGTTAATGGTTGAAGAGATAATCGATCTTCCAGATTGTATAGAGCATGATGCTGTTTACAAGGTGTTAAGTTTATTTTGAAACGATTTTCGTAGACTTATTCTTCCTCAGCAACTGATTCAGATCTCATGAATCTCATATCAATACATCCCGCAAAGACTTTACATGTTGTTCCAATAATTAGATTTTGTATAGAAGAATGTTTTGTAATAAAACACTGGATAATTTTGTAAAGGTCATTTTAACATTTTTGAGAACAAGCATATTTGCTAGTACCACCAGAAATGAATTTTTTCGATTATTTCTCCATACTATCGTCTTTTGATGTCAGACATATGTCACAGATACATCCACTATTAGTGCATCTATGCTAAATGTTTTAGCAATAAAGAGCGAGAATCCGTAGAGAAATCAACAAGTGTTTCAAATATATAGTTGAAGCTAAACATATTGCAAGGCTTATCCTGTTACCATTTCTGATTTAATTCAAAACTTTACAAGATAGTCATAGACGCCTAAGATATTCTCACGTGTAAGTAATTCTAAAATACAGTTAACTACTGTTTTATACTTTACATTAAACCAGAAATGGTAATAGAATAAGCCTTGCAATATGTTTAGGTTCAACTATATATTTGAAACATTTGTTGATTTCTCTACGAATTTTCGCTCTTTATTGCTGAAATATTTAGCATAGATGCACTAATAGTGGATGTATCTGTGACATATGTCTGACATCAAAAGACGATAGTATGGAGGAATAATAGGAAATGTTCATTTTAAAAAACTTGAAGATGACCTCTTCAAAATTATCCAGTGTTTTATCACAAAACATTCTTCTGTACAAAGTCTAATTATTGGAACAACA